GCGCTTGCCCTGGAAGCCTTTACCAGCCAGGAACAGGTGATGATCGGCACCTCACCCGTACGCTGAGCATAGACTCCAAATCTACCACCTAATTGTGCTTCTTCCGGGAAGGTATTTGACTAATGCCGCCACCTTGTCATGATGGTTGGTCTTGAGTGGTGCGATGATCCCGCGGGTTACGCTGGCTGGAATTTCGTTCCACAAGGTGCGATCTTGCCAAAAAAGCCAAAGGGAAACAGTCAGACCAAGAGCAGCGTGACCCTGTGCTATGAGTTATCGTGCTACGGGGCCGTCTGGGGGTTAAGTCTTGCTGTTCTCTGCGATAGGCTTGTGGATGCAGTAAGGTATTTCTCCCGGGCAACCAGCATGTCCATATCCATGGTATTACCAATGCTGCCCTCCCCCGAGGAAGGAGGGGTTAGAAAAGGTTAGCCCAAAAAGCCGCACGCTCCGATCGTCCAACGGTTGACCATGACCGCCAGCGCATTATTCAATACGGTCGAAATATTTTTAAAATGAATGAGTCCGGTGCTACTCTAAAGGCACCTGCTGTGCGCAGTCGCATCAGGAGTGAGACATTAATGGCGCACTCCCTGCGTCTTCGGTTTAGGCCAACCCCCTACCGTCGAGCAGGTCAGACCATTGAGTCACGCTCCGAGCAGGGTTGCTGTAGAAAACCCTACTGTCCGCTGCCTCATGAGTCAGACTTTCGAGTCAAAGGCTCAGGGTACTTAACTTCAACTAAACTCACTTCCTCAGCGCAGGTAACTGGGATTATCATTTGCCCGCACAGTTCTGTTTTCACCGATGTCTCTCCCCAAGCCATTCCCACCATACCTTCACGCAAGAAAACGTTGCTGGGTCATGTAACTTTCGGTTATCTGACCGATGCCTATTAACAGTGAACAAAACGACACCTAAATCCACGAGGTCCTTTCCACATAGAAGCTTCTAATGTTCGCACTCTATGTCTGACGAGACTGTAACTGTGTAACGAGACTGTTGGCGTCAATTGTGCTTCGTCGCCTTACGGTGGCTTGTGAGATACTGACTCGAGAGCAGCAAGCGGCATTCCGGCCTGGTAAGGGTTGCGTTGACCAAATCTTCACACTGCTAGAACAATGCCATACGTATAAGCGACCCATAATTCTAGTATTCCTGGATTTCCGAGGCGCATTCGACTCGGTTGATCGGTTTGTTCTCCTTGAGGCGCTTTCCCACCAAGGAATGCCCCGGAAGTTCGTAAACATAATACGTTCTTTGTATTTTCAGACTTCCGGACGTATGAGAATGTACGGAGAGCTCTCCAAAAGCTTCCGCACACAAAGCGGTGTCCGTCAGGGATGCCCACTCTCTCCATTCCTTTTCAACTTTGTGATCGATGAAATAATGAGACGAACGCTGGAGGGTCTCCAAAACCCTGGTGTTCAAATAGCCAGTGAAGAAAACCTTGTCGATTTGGAATATGCAGACGACATCGTTCTCATGTTCGCAGAGGAGGAGAAGGCGCAGGTGTTTTCGGATGAACTGACCAAAGTCATCTTTTGGTATTCACTTTGCACCTACAGATTGTAAGGTCATACTCGTGGACGTGCAGTCACTGAACAGGCCACCTACAATTCAGGGAGAGGTACTGCAATTTGTGGAGCGTTTTACGTATCTTGGAAGTTGTATTAGTTCTGATTGTAGTGTGACAGATGAGGTGAATGCACGAATCTGCAAGACTCGGGCCCCGTTTGCTAACTTGAGACACCTATGGTTTATCCCTGAATATGAAGGGACGTGTGTATCAAGCTGCAGTACGGGCTGTTTTGTTGTATGGCTGTGAGACTTGGCCTATTCGAGCAGTGGACCTGAGACGTCTTCAGGTGTTCGACAATCGTTGTCTCAGAGCCATAGCTCGTGTGGGTTGGTGTCGGCGAATCCGTAACGAGGCAGTTAGAAAGCGTGTTTTCGGTTGTGTAACGGGTACTTCCATTGAAGAATGTGTCCAGCACCAAAAGCTGCGTTGGTTGGGACATGTGTTACGTATGCCGAACCATCGTTTGCCGAAGAGAGTAC